TTCGCCCAGGGAAACACCTTCACCGCTGCACGGCCTGCTGAGAACTTCAGGTGAGGCTTCACCTGGCCAGCTTCTCCTGCCCCCATTCCCTCTGTTTCCTCCGCTGCGCCTTGGACATGCCCAGGATCTGGGTGTACACAACCCCAGAAGTTCCTCTCACTTGTTTCCCAGTATAGAATCATGGAATCATTCAGGTTGGAAAGGCCCTAAGACCATCAAGTCTGACTGTTAACCTTTGTTTACCACTGACCCCGGTCCCCAGGTGCCACATCCACACATTCCTGGGACGCTCCAGGGGTGGCCACTCCACCCTTCCAGATGGGCAGAGTTATCCCAATTGTTGGGCTCATTTCCCTCCACCAACAACTTGAGCAGAAGGGTTTGGTGCCTCTTCCTCCTGTGAGTGCTGTTCCGTGGGCTCAGACACCTCTTCTGTTCCAGGAGCAGCAGCATGGTCCCTCCAGTGAACATCATCCAGCAGCAGCCCTCGCCCGCCGGCCGGATCTTACCCCAGATTCCCCGCCACTCCACCCCAGCTCAGGTCAGCGGGACCACCTGGGCTCCAGGGACACGGCCAGTGTTCACACCCCAGGTAGCACAGCCCGAACCCTCAGGTGCAGGCCCCCGGGTCCCCGCTGCCTTCCAGACCCTGCTCTCCGTGGGGAACCGTCCTGCTTCCACTCTGCAGCGCTGTGTGTCCATGTGCTTCCTCCTTCGGGGCTGAGCCGGCAGCTCCTCCCTGAGCTGAGGGTCGGGGTGAATCCGTGCCTCCTCTTCCTCTCCCGTGTTTTTCCTCTCTTACAGCAAGTGGCATCCCAGGCCGTGAAGACCAGACCGCCTTCCTTCAGCATGGGCACATTCCAGGGCACGCCGTCCTCCTTCAGCTCCATGGCAGGGCCGGGATCGACGGCTTCTCCCACCACGGTGCCGTACCCAGCCTTGGCCAGCCGCGGCACAGGCTTCAGTGAGTGGGGACTGGGGGGCAAAATCCCCTGGGAGGAAAGCTGGGAGCATCCAGCTGTGGAGGGATGTGCTTTCCATCATTTTTTGTGGGTTTTGGGAGTGCCTAAATGTGGGGAGCAGAGTTGAATCTGTGCTTTGACTGACACTGATCACCTTCAATCATCCTCCAACCATAGAGCTGGACTCGGTGGTCCTTGTGGATCCCTTCCAACGCGGGATAATCTGGGCTCATCCCAGCAGATGAATTTTGAACCATTTTAAGGCTAACTGGCAGGAAACAAACCCCTCTGGGAGTCCCTTTGTTCTATCCCATGGCAAACACCTGAATTCTCAACCTGTGGCCAGAATTCCTGGAGGGCGACCCTGTCCTGCCACCAGCAGCGGCCCCGCACAGAGCACTGCCCTTCCCAGTCCCATGAGAGCCCTGGAGAAGCCCCATTCCCAGAGGAGGGATGGTTGACTGCCTGTGTTCTCTGCCCAGCAGCCACAGAGGCAGCGCAGACCCCGGCCCCGTTCCAGCCCCGCGCCGCTGACGCCGTGGGAATGTGGCCGCAGTGGCAAGGACAGCACCACGGCCCGGGATCTGGGGAGCAGCACGTGCAGCAGCCCCAGCCCAGCCAGCCTGAGGTCTTCCCAGTAAGATGGAGCTTTTTAACCTCCCAGTCCGGTGGGATCCACTGATCTTGAATCACCCAGAGCTTGTCCCTGTGGTTGAAATCAACTGGGGAGGTCCCAAACTCCTGGATAATCTGATGGAGCTGGAAGTGGAGAGGGCAGGACTGGCTTTGTGTCTTGATCTGTTGCAGAATCAGTGTGAAATTCCAGTTGGATTAACCCTTCTAATTCTAATTAATAATAAAAAAAAGCTACAGTCCAATGAAGTTAAAATTAATTCCTGAGAATTCATAATCATCTCGTCCCAGCAGTTGGTGATTATAGCTTAAATTTGCTGCTGTCCTTAAATTTACCTTGGCCATGGACCCTGTGTTCCCTTGGGAAAGGGACCAGTTTGGCCCACAACATCTATTCCAGCAAACCCGTGACTAAATTGCCAACATGATCATGGAACCATGGAATTGAGGCTGGAAAAGCCTCTGAGATGGAGTCCAAACACTCCCCTGAATTTCCAGTCTAACCCTCCCTGGCACACCTTGAGGCTGTTGCATACGTGATATTCCAGTCTGGATCCTAACTCTCTTCTTGTATCCTCACAGGACATGCTGACCATGTTGGGGGACCAAGGGCCCAACTACAGCAATGAAGAATTCCCAGAGTTGAATATATTCCCTTCTTTTTCTGAATAAAACAAGCCTTAGGGGAAACAGCATAAAGCTCTCCACAATATCCACATGCAAAGGAAAACAGCCGAGTCTTTTTCTCAAGGAACTGTCTAAACCCTTCCCACCTTCTGGAAGTGGAGCTCCGAGGAGGGATGGCCGTGGAGGAGGAGGTGGTTTGGACACCTCCTCCATGTGGGATTGTTCTGGAAGCTTCAGGACTTGAGTGCCACCAGGCCGGAGGCCCCGTGTTCCCAGAGCCGCTCCCAAGTGGATTTTTTTGGAGGGACTCCTGTCTGGATCACAGACAGCCCTTCCAAACTTTTAAGGTGGCTTTGACTGGTTTTATTTCGTTTTCTGCCGTGACTTTTTCTATAAAACACAAACTATTGGAATTTTTAAATGCTGGAAGAAACTCTTCCAAGTGTTATCCCTGTAAACACAATCCTGGAGGATGCTTGAGTAAGAATCCGTGTCCTAAGCCAGTGTTTTCCTCCTTTTTGGAGGAGTTTTGGCTGTTTTTTTGGAGGATTGTTACGGCGTCTCCAGTCCAGGGTGCTCCATGTGGAGATTCCAGTGTTTGTTTGGAATCTTCTCTCTCCTGTGAACTGTGCAATGAAATCGGTGTGATCCACGACCCCCCGTTACCCTGGGATAATTAACAAGCCATAGAAAATATTACCCATGTAGCTTTCTTCTGGATGAATCCATTTTCCAGCTGATGGTTTCTGTGCTGCCACAAACCGAAGTTTCAGCAGTTTTTCTGGGATAAAACCTGGTCCACGCTGTCCATGAACTTTTATCACATGTAGATGAGTTCCTTAGGAGTCCTCGTGGAGCTGGATGTGGGAGAATCCCTGGATTTCATCAGGGAATTGCTGAGGAACTGTATTTTCACTACATTTGCTCACTCACCGTCTCCTTAAAGAAGAATTCCTGCCATGGGATGATCCTGTTGCCAAATCACAAACTGTAAGAGGAGAGCTGGAAAAGTAGGGAACAGAATGAATTTTTTTATATATATATATATATATATCTATATATATAAAATTTTTAATTTTTAAACATTGACTTGGAATCTTCTGGCTTTTTCCATGGAAAAAAAAAACCAACTTGTGGCCAACCCTGCTCTCCTCAGGGGCTGGAAGAACTGTTTGATTCCCTCTTGCTTCAATTCCAACAGGAAAATTAATTGCAGAGTTGGACTTGGAAAGAAACTTGGCACAACAGCAGCTGGGGAAGGATCCCAAGTTTTCCTGGAAGCCTGTTTTTGTTTTGAGTGGAATGTGGGTGTTCCCCCCCTTTTCCCTGCATGCTGGGGGGCTCTGGGACCCCCAGGCTGGTTGTCTGGTTCTCTCTGCTGTTGAGGGCAAGAAGGGGGAGACTCCTCCCTTTCCAAGAGCTGGTTCCAGGGCTGTCATTCCTGAGTAATCCCCACGTAGGAAGCTTTGAAACCTTTGTGTCACCAACCCAGAGAGATCCCTCTTGTAAGTGGAGCAGGAAGCTTTATTTTTCTCTCTCTTTTTCCCTCTGGAAAATCAAGACTTGAAGGTTTTGTTTTAGTTTGTTTTGGGGTGTTTTGGTTTTTTTGTTTGTTTGTTTTTATTTTATTCCAAATTTCTCTACGGGTAAGTGGGAGCATCCCATTCGGAGACATCCTGTGATCCATCACGTCCTGGGCCTTTCCTCTTCAGCTCTTGGAGGGGGAAAATTCCCATTTCCCTGAGCCTGTGCAGGTCCCATGGCTGTAACCCCCCCACCTTTCCCAGATCTTGGGAGAAGGAAACCAGCCAAATCTGTTGGGAAGGAGGATGAGGAGGGGCTGGCAGGGTTCCCAGGGGGACAGGGGACAGGCGGGGTGCTTTGGGAGCTCCAGCATTGGTCCTGGGGGGGATTTTATCCTAAACTCCCTGGGGGGGCAGGAGCTGAACCCCTCGGGGGTGTCCCAGCCCCAGGTCCCTCGGCTCCAGTGGATTCTGGGCTGCAGAGTTTTTCCAACAAGAGGTTTTCCCTTTTTAGAACCTTTGTCTGATTTCTGCCTCTTTCTGTCCCCATCTTGGAGGAATGTCCCCAAATCCCCCTCCCTGTTTTGTCCCCCAGATCCCGTTATTTATTCCCCCCCCGTGGGTCCCCTCGGTTCCCGGTCACTCAGTGCCACGTCAGGGCCTCGTGCTGCCGGCGCTGATTCTGCCCTGGAGCCCCGGGTGACTCAGCCCCCGTCCCCACAGGGCTCAGGTCACACGGGGGGTGACCCCTCTCCTGGGGACCCCCCTGGGGAAGGGCTGACAGGGACGCACCCCCATCTTGGTGCTGCTCCATCCCCCCCGCCCCTCTCCCGTCCTGGGATGATCCATCCTTGCTCCCGTGGATGGAGGGTGATGATGATGACGATGATGATGATGAGTTGATGTCCCCAGTGTGACATGTCTGGGACGGGGCACTGGTGCCACCGGGACCTTCTGCCCTGTCCTGGCAGGAGCCGCGTGACGAGGTGACGGTCACTGCAGGGGGACCGGGCTGGGGACACTGGGAACACTGGGGACAGAGGTGGGGTGCTGTCCTCCGTCCCTGCTGTCACACGATGTCCCTGCTGTCACACGATGTCCCCGAGCTGCCCGTCCCGCCGCTCCTGAAGGGAGTGGGTGCTCAGCCCCATCCGATTCGGCCACGGGCAGGACTTGGGGACACTGGGTGTTCCCCAGGATGGGGTGCCGGGACAGGAGCGTGTCCCCAGGGCAGGATGCTGGGGTGGGAGGACATCTCGGGGACAGGAGGATGTCCCGGGGACAGGAGAACGTCCCGGGGACAGGAGAACGTCCCGGGGACAGGAGGACGTCCCGGGGACAGGAGAACGTCCCGGGGACAGGAGGATGTCCCGGGGACAGGAGAACGTCCCGGGGACAGGAGGATGTCCCGGGCAGGACCCGCCGCCAGCCCCGCGCCGGGGCTGACTCAGCTCCTCCCGCAGCACCACGTGAAGCCGGGGGCAGCCCCCGCGTCCCCCCTCCCCGTCCCCTCCTTCCCTCCAGCCCATCCAAGCCCGATGCCTGCCAAAATTTTCCGGCTGCCTCCGAACTTCCTCAATCCAGCAGGATAAAAGCGCAGCGGCCGCGGCTCCCGCAGGCCCAGTCCCGGCGCTCCCACCGACGGCTCCGTGCTGGGTAAGCGGCGGGGAGGGGTCCCCAGGACACCCAGGGACGCGGCGGGTGGCTTCTTCCCCAGGGAAATCGATCCCAGTGGGAGCGGGAGGGAATCGGGACCCTCGGAGGCACAAAAAGGGAAACTGAGGCACTTTACGTCCAGCGGGCCCGGGGGCCCCCGGCTCGGGGAAGTGTCCCGAGTTCCTGTTCCCCAACGGGGGGCTGGGGGCCGCTGGGTGAAGCCAGGGAGGGGCAGGATCGCTGGGACGTCCCCCCGGCTGCACCCTCCGCACCCCAAAATCCCCCCCGGCTTCGGGCTGCGGTAACGGGAACCATCTGTCCCGGCTCATGTGATGCCGGCGCCCGGCCAGCGCTGCCCGCGGGGGTGTCCTGGCCCCAAATCGGGGGAAGGAGGGGTCCCAGGTCCCAGCCAGGGCTGGCAGGGGGTCCCAGTTCCACAGGAGGGTGGGCACAGCATCCTGCCTTCACCCGGCCCCCCCGGCTCAGGCTCTCCCCGTCCCCAGTGTTCAGCTGGTCCCCAGGATGTGGTGGCCCTTGCTGCTGGTCCCTGCGGCGCTGGCCCAGCTGCACCCGGAGCGGGAACTGGATGCGCAGTGGGAGCTCTGGAAAAAAACCCACCGCAAGCAGTACAATGGCAAGGTACGGGGGGTGGTGCTTGGGACCCCCAGTGACGTCCCCAGGGTGGGACAAGGATGTCCCGAGGGCGGGGGGCACAGGCAGCACCCCTGGCCCATCTTGCCCCACGGTGCAGGAGGACGAGCTGACGCGGAGGCTGATTTGGGAGAAGAACCTCAAATACATCAACACCCACAACCTGGAGCACGCCCTGGGCGTCCACACCTTCGAGCTGGCCATGAACCACCTGGGTGACATGGTGGGTGTCCCTGGGAGGGGACAGAGTGGGGCTGAGCACCTGTGGGTGCTGCCACCCGCCCGCTCACCCAGCGGGGCTCCTTCCCCAGACCAGCGAGGAGGTGGTGAGGACAATGACCGGGCTGAAGGTGCCCCGTGGTCACCAACGTCACAACGAGACGCTCTTTGTCCCCGACTGGACCGAGAGAGCCCCGGCTGCCATGGACTGGCGCAAGAAAGGCTACGTGACCCCTGTCAAGAACCAGGTAAGACGGGTGTGCCTGGAGCGGGGGGTCACCCCGGTGTCACCCTGGTGTCACCTGTTGTCTCCCCACAGGGCCAGTGTGGCTCGTGCTGGGCTTTCAGCTCCGTGGGTGCCCTGGAGGGGCAGCTGAAGAGGAAAACAGGGAAGCTGCTGTCCCTCAGCCCCCAAAACCTGGTGGATTGTGTGGCTAACAACGACGGCTGCGGGGGCGGGTACATGACCAACGCCTTCGAGTACGTGCGGCAGAACCGCGGCATCGACTCCGAGGACTCCTACCCCTACATTGGCCAGGTGTGAGGGGGAACAGCCCCAAATCCCCCTCCATCCCTCCCATCCCCATCTCACCTCGACCTTCCCGGCCCCACACAGGACGAGAGCTGCATGTACAGCCCCACTGGGAAGGCGGCCAAGTGCCGCGGCTACCGTGAGATTCCCGAAGGGAATGAGAAGGCTCTGAAGAGGGCAGTGGCCCGGATTGGTCCCATCGCCGTGGGCATCGACGCCAGCCTGCCCTCCTTCCAGTTCTACAGCCGGGGTGAGGGGCTGGGGGGAGATCAGGGGCCATGGGGCTGCTCGGGGGCCTGAGGCGTGCCCGGTGACACCGGCCGTGTCCCCAAGGTGTGTACTACGACGAGAGCTGCAATGCTGAGAACATCAACCACGCCGTGCTGGCCGTGGGCTACGGGGCACAGAAGGGCACCAAGCACTGGATCATCAAGAACAGGTACTGTTCTTGGTACCGTGGGATTGGGATCACTTGGGAATTGCAGGTGGCTGGGGCACTTCCAGAGGCTCAGGCTCTGCTTTTCCACCCTCCAGCTGGGGCGAGGAATGGGGCAACAAGGGCTACGTCCTCCTAGCCCGCAACATGAACAACGCCTGTGGCGTGGCCAACCTGGCCAGCTTCCCCAAGATGTGAGGAGCACACCCAGCCCTTCCCTGCCCACTGCCCTGCCTTCAGCTTGGCCTCTTCCCTGCCAGTCTCAAAGATGACGGTGCTCCCAGGGGGAATTCTTTGTCTCCGTGAGAAATTTCCCCTGGGAAGGGGAGAGACACCCCTCTTCCACCTGCAGGGAGTAGGGGACGAGCCCCCCTCAACCCTGTTTTCCACACTTTGCCATGCTGGCTTCTGCCTTCCCATGGACTGTGCTTGGCTAGATCCAAGGCCAATCCACCCAGACATGCTTCAGGAAACAGGATCCACAGCAGCCTCTGCCTCAGGAACACTGGGGTGGAGGTGGGATATTCCCAGTGGAGAACATAGACCCCTCTCCCTCCACCCTGTATCCCAGTGGAGGCTGCTGAGAATGATGTGACTTCATTTTTCAACTAAAATTGGGAATAAGGCTTGGACCGGTTTGCTTTGTGCTGGGAAACAGCCACAGGGATGGGAGAAATTCTTCCTTTTCCCAAAGGGGCAAGGAGCCCCATGTGAGGCAGAACAGGGAGAGAAGAAGCTGCTGAGGAGTTTTGGGATGGATGGATGGATGGATGGATGGATGGATCCACAGGATGCCCCCAGCCCCATCAGTCCCCCAAACACTCCCCAGGGACCAGCATCTCTTCCCAGGGACTGTCAGCCATGGCTGGGGGGGCACCGTGGGGGACGTAGGGATTTGGGGACCTCCTGGGATCATGGCCATGGGGGGGACACAAGTGACAGTGACACTGTGGGCCCACAAGAATCCAGGGAAGAGGTGCACAGAGACCCCTGGGAGGGCCGTGCATGCCCTGTGTGGGTGAGCGTGGTGACCACAGCACACCCCAAAACCAAACACAGGTATCACAGCAGGCCTGACACACCCCAACAGTGCAAACACCCCAACATCCACCCACACCCCGGCACACCCCGGAATGGGGCCCCGTGGGGGACACCGAGGCCTGGGGGGGCCCTGAAACAATGGAGACAGTGAGGCATAAGGAAGTTCCATGAACCGAACAACCAGGGACACTCAGAGGTGACACCGCAGCATTTTTATTGTTCCCTCATGCTGTGGGGGATTCACTCCTCATCTCCGGGGGGCGGGGGGGGCACGGCGGCCCCCAGGGTCACCTGGCTCAGGTAGGTGTTGTCGAAGCAGCGGCGCCGCTCGGGCTCCTCCCACGAGCAGCAGCCCTGGGGGTCCCGCCAGGCATCCAGGGGGGTGGCACAGAGCGTGGCGATGCCCTGGGACAGCTGTGGGCAGCGGGGACGGGGGTCAGGGTGGCTGGGGGGGCCCCCAGCGCCCCGATCCCTTTGGTCACTCACCTGCTCCCGGGCACAGGGGCCGCGTTCCTGGGGGGGCAGCGGGCAGCACGCGGCCGTCACGGCCCCCAGCAGCTCCGGCACCGGCCGCCTGCGGACAGGACACGGCTGTGAGCGCGGGGGTCACCGCCAAGGGGCTCAAGGGGGGGAAGCGCACTGCTCCGTCTCCTCCCTGAAAGGGGTTCCTGAGCAAAGGGGAGTCCCAGGGGGCTGGGATGGGGATGAGGAGTGCTGCAGAACTGCGGTGTCCCCCCGGGGCTGCCCTGGGGTCGCCCACCTCTGTGTGAAGAGCCGCGTGGGGCCGCAGAGCGAGCGCAGCAGGGCCGGGCCGGGCCGGGCCAGGCTCACGTTGTGCAGCTCCCGGTCGTATTCGGGGTGCGGGGCGGCGGCGGCGAAGCAGCGGCCCCGGTCCCGGGCACCCCTCCGCTGGCAGCACCGGTGCTGCCCCGTCTTCACCGATGCCTCTTCCCGGCAGAACCGATTCAGCCCCTTCAGCCACTGGGCAGGAGAAATTGGGGTCAGGGTCGCCCGGACACTGGCTCCGCCCAAGCCCTGAACACCTGGGTCATCCCTGGGGCACTTCCGTCCCAGGGTCCCTCCCTAGCACGTTTGTCACCTTCCCGGATACCTGGGAGCCTTCCCGGCCTCTGAGTGTCAGGGTCACGCTCCGGGCACACGGGTCATTCCCGGGACACGTGGGGCCCCTCCCCGGATACCGGAGCGCCAGCCCAAACACCTCGTCCCTTTCCCAAACACCTTTTCCCGGATACCTGCCCCTCCCCAGCCCTTTGACACCCGAGACCCTCCCAAACGCCCGGGGTCCTTCAGCACCGCGACCTTCCCTCGCAGCCTCGTCCCCCCGGCCCGTGTCCCCACTCACGGCGCTGTGGGCGCAGCTCAGGCTCTCGTTGCGGCAGCAGCGCCCGTACTCGTGCTCCAGCCGGACGCGCAGCCGGACGCGGGGCCCGGAGCGGCCGCCGGGGCCGGGGGCTCCGGGGCGCAGCGCCCGCAGCCCGCAGATGTTGCCCAGGTTGGCGGCCGTGGGCTCGCCGGGGGGAAAGGGGGGCTCGGTGACCAGGTCCCAGGCGACATTGGGGTCCCAGGTGGCGCTGGGGTCCCAGGTGGGGGCCGGGGTCTCCTGGGCGAAGCAGCGGCGCCGCGCGGCCCCGTGCCGGTGGCAGCAATGGAACTGCCGCGTCTTCACCCCGAACTCATCCGTGCAGAACCCGTCCAGTACGTCCGTCCACTGCGGGGCAGCGGGGGCAGAGCCCCCTCGGTGTCACCCCGCGTCCTTCCGGACACAATGTTCCCCCCCGTGCCCCCTCCCGGTATTGTCTCCCCCTCCGCGCTGTCCCCGCGTTATCCCTGCCCCAGAGTTTTCGTGTCTTCTCCGTGTCCCTCAGAAGTGTCTCCCTGCCCCACATCCCGCCCCCCGCGGTGTCCCCGCGGTGTCCCCGCGGTGTCCCCGCGGTGTCCCCGCGGTGTCCCCGGCTCACAGCGCGGCGGGCGCAGGGCAGCGGGCTGTGCTGCCGGCAGCAGTCGTTCAGCCGGGGCCGCAGCGCGGCCAGCGCGGCCGCCTGCCGGCGCAGGTGGGCGAAGGCGTTCGGGGGCAGCAGCAGCGGCGGCGGCAGCGTCGGGGGGTCGCGGCAGTGCCGGGTGACGGCGTCGGCCACGGGCCAGGCGGGGGGGAACCCGTCCAGGGCGCTGCCCCAGAGCGGGGGGCTGCGCGGAGCGCCCATGGCCCCCCCCACCAGGATGTCGGGGGGCACCTCGAGGTCCTGCTCCTGCTGCAGCACTGCAAAAGGGAGGGGGTGGGCACACGGCGGAGGTGTCCTCCCTGCACTTGTCCCCGCGTGTCCCCCCTCTCCCCATTGGGTCCCTGTGTCCGTGTCCCACGCCGTGCTGTCGCACTCCAGTGCCCAACCCTCGCTGTCCCCATGTCACTCCCACCATCCAAGCCCCGCTTCTGCATCACCGCGTCCCTCCGCCCCCTGCCCTGACCCCTCGTGTCCCCCCATCCACAGCCCCACCCATGAGCGTCCCCCTGTCTCCAGTCCTGCTGTCCCCCTTTGTCCCCCACCCCTGGGTGCCCCCGTCTCTCCCCTCACCTTGTTTGATGTTGGGGGGCCGCAGGTCCAGTCTCTCCTGTTCCACCTGCTGCAGCTGCCCCGAGGCCACCGCTGTCACCCATGGGGGATACCGGGGGTCAGCAGGGTCACCCCCTCTGTCCCCCCACCCATGGAACAGCAAGCTGGGACCTTCCTAGACCTGTGGGCTTCGAGCTCCATAACGGGGAGGGGGCCCAGGTGTTTGGGAAGGGGACCCCGACGCTCAGGAGGCGCCCCAGGTGCTCGCGAAGGGGACACAGGCATCCAGGAGGGGATGCAGGTGTTTGGAACAGGAACCTCCAGGCATTTGGGAGGGATCCAGGTGTGTGGGCAGCGGCCCCGACATCCGGGGAGGGGAGCCCTGACTTGCGGGTGGGGATCCAGGTGTCCTTGGAGGTGTCCCAAATACCTGGGCAGGAGCCCAGGTGTCCCAGGGGGGACCTAGGAGTTCGGGACACGGATCCAAGCGTCCGGGAAAGGGTTCAAGGAGTCCGGGAAGGGGCCCCAAGTCTCTGTGGGGAATCTCAGGTTTTTAGGAAGGGGATCCAAGTGTCTGGGGAAGGGACCCGGGAGTTCGGGAAGGGGCCCCAGGTGTTCGGGAGGGCCCAGCCGTGCAGAGGGGCTCTGGGTGGGGACGGCGGGGACTCACCGGCGGCGCTGAGGAGGAGGAGGAGGCCGAAGGCCGCCATGGCGTCGGGCTCTGTAGGGTCACCGCCGGCTCCGCCGCCTTATGAAGGGCCGGCTCGGGCGTGGGGCCACATCCCGCGGGGCTGAGTCACGGCCTGACGTCGCGGCGGAGCCGGGAGGGGGACCCCGGGGGGCTGCGCTGGGTCCTGCACCCCCAAACAGGACCCGGGTCGTAACCCCGACCCCAGCCAGGCTGCGGACACTGTCACGGCCCTGTCCCCACCCCGGTGGTCCTGTCCCCACCC